TCCCCTCTTATTGTTGTTGTTTTGTCTTGTTTCCAATTCCAGCCAAGTTTGGAAATAATTTAACCTGCTGTTTAAAAGGTTTCTGCTGGCCGAAACCGGTTTGGCTCAGTGGATCATTGTTTCTCTCTCATCGATGTTTCTGACTCTCTGTCTCTCTCCCTTCCTCTCTGTAAAAAATCAATAAAATATTAAAAAAAATAAAAGGTTTTTGCCGGAAGCAACGAAGACAATCAAGTGGAATGCCTTCTCTGTTATCACCATCCTGACTTTTCTGGGAGTAACCAACAAAGCCCGTGAAAGCCAGGAAAGGCTCTGATTCATTTCGATGTAAGATGGTGACTAATTTTCCATTGACAGAGAGTTTTCTGCTGAATTATGACTATGATGAAAACAGAAAGCCGAGGGTAACGACAGCTGTTCAGTATAATCATCTAAAAACGCAGACTACAACACTTCTAAAAACAGTTCCACGGGGTGGCATGCTACTCATCTAAACTGGCCTTGTGATGGTGGCTTCTTTTCAGGGAAACCTTGCAGGACAACAACCACACGAGTTACCGTAGCTGAATCCCGCAGTGGTGGGTGCCTTCTTCTCCTTCGCACTGACTGGGTACCGCAGCCTTGTGACAAGTCCTAGAAATCAAAGAATTATCGTTCATAATCAATCTGCATGGTCAAGTGTGAAGCTAAAATCCATAAAATCCACTCATTTAGTCACTCAGTGCTCATCCTCTGTGTGTGCATACAGCTCTGTGCCATATCCTGGCAAAAAATACAGAGGAAGGCAAGAAGGAAGAGGATGAGCCTACTGTCTGACAATTTCATATTTTTATGGGGCATGAAAAATCTGAATATTTTCATACTTTTATGGAGCATGAAAAATCTGTATACTCACACTTTTATTCATTTAACAAACATTTTCTTTAAATACTACAGTGTTTATCAAGCACCATGCTAGCTATTCTCTTGTCAAACACTTTAAAGGATGTTAAAAGGTTTCTAACAGTTATTATCAATGATTCTTTCATGTTATTTTTAAATATGCAATCTGTACTATGGATATTTAATAAAAATTGATTCTCTGGCCCAGCTGCTGTGGCCCGGTGGATTGAGCGTTGTCCCATGGACCAGGAGGTCCCGGGTTCAATTCCTGGTCAGGGCACATGACCAGGTTGTGGGCTCTATCCCCAGTAGGGGGCGTGCAGGAGGCAGCCAGTCAATGTGTCTCTCTCACTGGTGTTTCCATCTCTCTCCCTCTCCCTTCATCTCTGAAATCAATAAAAATATATTTTAAAAAAATAGATTACCCAGACATAACAATATTAGGAATCTTAGCATAAAATTCAGGTTCTAAAATATCAACAACTGGTTATACCAACTACTGGAAATCAATGAGGAACATTAAATCCTTTCATCTAAGTTATGCTAAAATACCAAATAAGAAGAAATGGCAGGTATCTCTCCTATAAACACCCATAATACACTGTATTTCCTCTATTACAGCATATCTCATACTAACTTAATATCGTTATATTCTTCTCTGCCTCCCCTACCAGATGGTAAGATCTAAAAGAGACAGAAGATCTGGGAAAGACAGAATCAATGATTATCTAGTCCACCATAGTTTCCCTAGAACCTAGCACATTTCCCAGCACACACTACTAGACACTTAATACATGTTCGTTAAATAAATCGAGATAATGGTTAAAGAAATAGTGTTATGTAAACACTGAAAATAACAGAATATGGGCTAAGAAAAGTCCTTTGGGGAATAAATTGATAGGAAATTCATCAAATGTTCAACATTGAGTTACCGTATGACCCAGCAAATCTACTGTACCAAAGGGAAATGAAAGATATTTCCATGCCAAGACTTGTACATAAATATTCCCTGCAGCATTATTCATAATAGCCAAAATGTGGAAACAAACCAAATGTCCATCAACCGATGAATGATAACAAAACGGAAAAACAAAGTCCACACAACGATTTATTACTCATCAATAAAAAGGAATGGAGTATTTATATAAACTACATCATAGACTAACATTAAAAACATTATGGTAAGTCAAAAAAGGTAGTCACAATAGAGCACCCATTGTATGATCCCATTTATATAAAATATCTAGAAAAGGCAAATTTGTCGAGACACAAAGGAGATTAGTGGCTGCCTAGGGCTGGACTGCTGAAAGGATACAAGACTTCTTTTGGGGTGATGGAAGTTTTTTTTAGATTATGGTGAGAGTTGGCACAAATCTGTAAATATATTAATGACCACTGAATTGTACACTTGAAAGTGGTACACTATGACACGTAAATTATATTTCAATAACTGTTCCAATCATTATCTGAGAAAAGTGAACAGAGTCACAAGTAGAAACAGACTTTGCAAAAGGTGCCTTCAATAAAATTTCAAAAGTTACTTTTTCATAAATGGGGTTAGACACTTGGCTATCCCTGCTCGCTTACATCTTTGAAGTCAAAGGCTAGAAATGTTTCCTGGCTTACCCTGTGCAGCCTCAATGGGCATAAATGTGGTTTCGTAGTTGTTTCTGGTGTTCGGTTAGTCCCCACTCTGGGTGGTGAGTGCAGCAGATTCAGGCAGATGGAAACTCTGTCTGGGACATGATTACCCTCGTCCTCGGAAGCCTATAGCCCAGGCCTAAACCCGGGGCTTGTCTGGCAGCTTCTGTGACAACTCTGACATGGACATATCTCGGATTTTACTGAAGAAAGAAAAAGTCCAATGCCACTTTTAAAGATGGTATGGCAGGCTTCACGCAGGACCGTTGTGATAGGGTTAGGGACTACTGCAATGGGATTTGAGAGTCAGGGAGAGAGACTGGACTCCCCCCAATACAACATGGGCAAGTGGGAATGTATATCCAGGGAATGTACAGGGACTGTAGGGGGTGTGCAGGAGGCAGCCAGTCAATGTGTCTCTCTCATTGATGTTTCCATCTCTCTCTCCCTGGATGGAAAATCACTAAGAGAAACATCAGAGGTAAGGGAAGTGGGCAGTTCTGGCTAAACCAATCTAACAGAGTTCTTGAGGACGATGGTGGACGATGAGAAAGTTGATCAGATACTGAGGGTGATCAGACATCAGATATCGAGGGCAGGGGGTTCTGGTTCAACTGACTTAGCAGACCTCCTGCTAAAACTGGATTTTACAAAAAGCGCACAGATGGCCTAGGACAGCAGTTTCCAACCAGTGGTCCATGAGGTCCGAAAGGTTGGTGAGCACTGGCCTAGGAGTCTGACTACAGTCTGGTCAGGCAAAAAATCTTTGTCAGTACCAAGGATATGAACCCCAGAAATGTGACATTTACCATACACAATAAAAACAGCTCATGCCCTAAGGTCTAGACTGAGCTTTTTATGGGACTTGATATTATTTCTGATTTTTCTTTGCACAGAGCACTTCCTTAATATGCAGTAATTTTAAATCAATCAATCACATTCTACAAGTAACTACAAAATACAACTGCTCAGGGAAGAACTCATCGCAATGTCTGATCATTGGACCCTCTCCCTCTATTGAAATGGGCTCTAACAGCTCACCTACCTGCTGCATTGTGCCTATGGTATTCAATTATCTCAGGAATGGAACCAAACGCGTGTTTTTCGGCCAGATAATACTTCTTGGGGGAGGTTGTTGTTTCCTTTATATGATAATGCCTGAAACCTGATGAGCCTTCTCTGCAACAAAAATCAAAATGTGTTAGGACCGAGGTGGAAGACTGTAACTTCACTCTGAAGACATGTTCTATCAGGTCACCACAGGGTCCATACATATGGCCCCTCCTACTTGCTCCACAAATTTTATTCCTTCCCATGTCCACCTTAGCTTTGCTTTTCACATTAAAAGGCAGAAGTTTTTAAAGTGGTCACTGATATCATTCTTGGTCCCTTGCCAGAGATTATAACAGAGAGCATTTACCCACTTTGTTTACCAGCAGTTAAAAGTCTTACAATAGCTATTAGCTGGCTACCGCTGTCTGTCCCTGCTGTTGGAGGAAACTTGCAAATATTTAGAGGACTTACATCCTAAAAGTGAATAAACTAGACTTGTAAAAAATGTACAAAGATCTATTTTAGACATCTTTCTAGAACACAGAGCTTCTGGAGTCATCTCTTGCTAATAATCTTTCAAGATAACTCCTACTGCTCTTAAGATAAAGCTCAGACTCAGGCGATGTGGCTCAGTGGTTGAGCTTCGACCTATGAACCAGGAAATCACAGTTCGATCCCCTGTCAGGTTGCAGGCTCCATCCCCAGTAGGGAGTGTGCAGGAGACGGCCAATCAATGACTCTTTCTCATCATTGATGTTTCTATCTCTCTCTCTCCCTCTTCTTTCCTCTCTGAAATCAATAGGAATATAATATTTTTTAAAAAAAGATAAAGCTCAGACTCCTTGACACTGACATGACCTAACCTCACATTTATTTCTCAGGCTTCTCTCTCCACTCTTCATCCTATCCCCCTCATTCTACAATCCAGGTGCAGTACACTCTTGTCAGTTCCTGGAACTCATCCTATCCCTCCCTGCCCCCCAGTTCTGGGCCCAGACGGTTACCTGATTCTGAAACATTCTTTGCCCTCCCTCCAATTTTCTCCACCTCACCCGTCATGTCTCAGCTTGAATGTCACTCAACAACATCAATAACTAACTCAGAGGTACCTGGGCTATGTACCCCATTTTCCCCATCCACCCCCCAGCATACAAACATTGCCCTCCTAACACAGTACTTATTCGTACACTATCCTGACTATTTGCTTTTCTGAAGCAAATTTGCCCACTAAGCTATTGGAGGGCAGGGCCTGTCTACTTTGCTCACTGTGGTATCTGTAGTGCTTAACACCGTGCTCCGTAATTATTTGTTTAACGTTGCTAACATTTCCATAGCCATTCTCAACAAATTTAAAAATATATACACACACACATATATATAGTGTAATATACATACATATATAATTTATATGTGTGTGTATATAATGTATATATAATATATATATAACTATGAAGCAAATTATTGAAATATCAATATAAAATATAGTACAGACTTTAAAAATCAAGTTCAGGTTTTCTTTTTAATGTTGAAAATTAGGAATCCATACGAACTATAAAGGAACTTCATACCAAAACTATAAATTTAAAAAAGAGAGAGAGAGTAGGATTACTTACCCTCCAAACTTTGTGTAAAGGGAGACTGTGTACATGCCCGGTTGACTGGAATCCCTTACCATAAAACCGCCTTCTTTATCCTGAAATACAAGTGAAGAGAATTGTTTCAGTTCATTAACACATATCCATGCCATGGAGCAGAGTCAAGAAGCCAATCTTGAACAAATATTAGCCTTTACCTAGAAAATCTGCTTTGGAGAAGCACAGCTTCCCAGGAGGGTTCCTCCATAAGACTGTCCACGAAATTAAAGAAAGCACGCTCACAATTCCCCCCATCCACAAATCACACACACAGGATGAGAAATTTCAAAAAGATCATCCCTCAGGGCCCTTTCAGAACTAACAGACAAGATTCTGCAACTCCTGTAAGACTTGGACACGAGGGGGGGCACATTTACTGAAAAATGTATTTCTTAATGATTGGTTTTCATTTCATACATTTTTAATATCTGCAAAGGGTTTGATCATGACCCAATATCCTCTTCTATCCAAATAGCATTTTTTTTCTGTAAATATCTCAGTGCTCTTTACAAACATGTTTTTAAAAAATCCCAAATCCCCCTGGAAATCAATGTTAAATATCATTCTTTACAAAAGGAGAGATGGAGGCACAAGTGACAAGCAGAGAAAACCAAAAGGCAGAAGCAACAATAAGTGACTAAAGGATAAATCCTCAAGCCAAAGAGCAAGAGAGACAATGGAGTTAAATAAAACCCCATGAATAAATCTGATAAGAACAATTAGAGACAATGATATAACATTTTATTGGTAAACAGAATAGTAGCTACCATATGTTTATTGAGAATTTACTCCATTTTAATATGTTCTAATCTGTGGATTTACTTAATCCTCAAAACAGTCCTATGAGGTACTACTGCTATCCCTGATTTACTTTGCAGGTAAGGAAATGGGCACAGAAAAGTTAGAAAATTTGCTTTAGGTCACACAGCTAATAAGTAGCAGACCCAGGATTTGAACCCCAGGTCTTCTAGCTACCCACTCCCCTAGAGTTGCCGCCAATTGTGGGGTCACCAGGGAGGCATGTAAGAATCCTGCAGGGAAATCACATGGTTATGTGTCATGTGTCATTTGAGTCAAGCAAAGTCACCTGCTATTTCTCTCTCAACATAAACTACAGAAACAACTGCCCAACAAAACCTTGATTGGTGGTGAGAAGCAGGAGATAAGATGAGAAAGCATGAGTTTAAAAGACTGGAAACCATTCATAAATGGAACAGCTGGATAAAAAATGCAGAGAACTGTAGAGGTCACCTGCTAATCTAACTCCTCACCTAACAGAGGAGAAATAGGCTAGAAAAGTCACAGACTTGGGTCACCTTACTTATTATTAGCCCATTATAATTTCCTGGACACTACATTGTATCCCTTCATGTTAATTCTTTTTAAAGTGTAAGAATTTCAGCACATTTATGTCTAAAGGCAACTAAATACTTTATTAAAACATAATTTCTAAAAGGTATCATGTAGGTTAACTAAGGGAGAGTGGGTCTCTGACTCTGTCTAGTCCAAGCCTGCCCGTTCCCATGGCCTTAGGCTAGTAGCTCTGCTTGGTTGCATATGGACATGCTAATCACTAGAAGAATTCTGCTAGCCCCTGAGTTTTACAAAAACAGCCCCTCCCATTTCCCCTTCCCTTGACATAAAAGAGGCCTGAACTCTCTACTTTCTTAGGATGAATTTCAGGGGTGGTCTCCCATCTTCTCAGCTGGCACCTTTGGATGAATAAAGTTTTCCTTACTCCAAAGTCTGAGGTTTTGAGTTTTGGTCTTTCAAAGTATCAGGCACACAGTCTTTGGACCAATAACATACTATTGATATCAATTATTTTAAAACAAATAACTTCAAGCAAAAAGGAAAAAAACACATTTTAGTACCAAAGCAAACAATAAATCAGTGAGAGTGTAAAGAAAATGTTACCCATCTATAGCTATTACCTACCGTTACGGGTTTAACCTATTGTTAAAAGCTTGTTGGAGTCCTAACCCTCAGGACTTTAGGATGTGACCTTATTTGGAGACTTGCAGAAGGAATCAAGTTAAAATGAGGTCATGTTGGGCAGGCCCTACTCCAAATGAGTGGAGTCCTTATTGAGGAGAAATGGCGACACAGGGACAGACATACACAGGGTGAGAAGCAGAGAGGCCTGACCAGCTCCTTCCCTCGGAGCCCTCAGAAAGAGCCAACCCTGCTGGCACCTTGATTCCAGACTTCTCACCTCTGGGATGTGAACAAGACATTTCTACTGTTGAAGCCACTCGGTCTGTGGGACTTTGTTTACAGCAGTCCCAGGAAACTAATACACCAGTGTTTACTACTAAATGATTAAGAAAACAAAACCCTGTACTTACAGTATTTTTTAGGCTTTAGGAACAGAGGTACATGAAATGACTGGATTCATTACAATTAACTGGTGCTGAAACCAACACCGTAAAACAAGTATAAACACTTACCTCACTCCTGAGGAGTAGTTCAGCTTTGCTTCTATTCATATTTCTGCAATACCATCTGAACAGAAAAAGATACATCTAAGACCTCAGGTTTCTTAAATTATTTGTTATTCTTTTTAGACTTAGCAAGGTAATATTTCTCATTTATTACAAATACAATAAATAAGAACAAGATATCACTCATAATCTCAGTAATACAGACAACTACTAGCAACATTTAATGTATATACTTCCAGACATTTTCTACACACATTTTTATGAAAGTGGGATCAAACTATACTTGTTATATCATAATCTAAATTTTTCATATAACTGCATGACTGACATCTTTGCAAAACAATATAGTTCTATGTATCATGGTATGGGTGTGCCATAATTAGGCTATTCTTCCTTATTTAACATAAAAATCATTTCCAATTTTTCACTATTATAATAATAGCAAGAACAAATTTTCCTCCACAGACTCAAACATGCAGGAAATGTCACTTTACATTATTGTCTTGAATTCAATTAAATCTTATCCCAAGCCCCCATCTCACCAATAGTCAATAGATTTTTATCTCAAGTCATTATGGAGGCTTCCCCACTGAATTTCAGGAAGAGTCGAAAGAAACAGAGCAAAACATAAGAGCAGGCTTCCTGGGTCCTCCAGACTCACTGGTTCTGGCCCTGAAGGTGACGGAGGCGCTACTGTAGGAATCCGTCATGACTAAACAGTGGAGCCTGCCCTCCCGCCAGGTCCTGCACCACTCCATGCCATAGCACCAAGTGCCTGCTGATCTGTTACTCATTAGCCCTTGGGAAATCTTTCCTGAGGAAAGATGGATACTGCCATTGCCAACTTCATCCTCAGAGGTGCTCCACTCTCTCTGCTGCCCCACCCCAACCTCTCCATGAGATTTCAGTTGACCCTTGAACAACAGGGGCTAGGAGTGCTGACACACACACCCACCTTCCCACCCCAGAAGTCAAAAATTCTAGTATAACTTGTGACTGCTCCAAAACTTTACTAATAGCCCACTGTTGATCAGAAGCCTACAGAACAGTCAATTCATATGTATTGTATATATTATACTAGAGGCCTGGTGCATGAAATTCGTGCACTGGGGTGGGGTGGGGGGGTGTCCCTCAACCTGGCCTGCATCCTCTCACAGTCCGGGAGGCCCTCAGGGGAGCAGGCCTAAGCTGTCAGTCCGACATCCTTAGCACTGCTGCGGAGGCAGGAGAGGCTCCTGCCACTGCCGCTGCACTCGCCAGCCGTGAGCCCGGCTTCTGGTTGAGCGGCACTCCCAGAAGCTCCTGTGTTGAGTTTCTGCCTCCTGGTGGTCAGTGCACATCATAACAACCAGTTGTTCCACCGTTTGGTCAATTTGCATATTAGCCTTTTATTATATAAGATACTGCATTCATACAATAAAGTAAGCAGGAGAAAAGAAAAATGTTACTCAGAAAACCATAAGAAAGAGAAAATACATTAACAGTCTTTAGTATTAAAAAAAAATCCATGCAGAAGTGGACCTGTACAGTTCAAGGATCCACTGCATAAGCAAGGAGGCCAAAGAACATGAGCTCAGTTTTTCTTAGGCCTTTCGTTTTAAACTTGACTTTTTTGTTTGTATTCAATGCCCTTCCGTGGGCCCAAAACCCTCTACCAAGGTCATATTTCCTGAGGTTCCAATGTTATGAAATAAGGTTGGCCCCTCTGAACATCTGAATTTTCCACTACTGGGTCAGCCTTTTATTAAAGGGCCAGCACCTGTTTGGGGCTTAGCAAATACCCCAAGTCAAGCAAACACAAAGGCCTTCCCAGATGAAGGAAGGTAAAAATGCAAAGAACAAAATACAATACAAGATCTTTTTTGGCCTGGATTCTTTTATGTGGTTGTAGAAGCCAAACACGAATTACAAGCTGATGACTGTTAATTCATCGGGAGCCTGAGGTGATTACTCAGGTCTCGACATTATGGGCACTGAGATCTCACTGCTGAGGGCCCCACACTATGAACTGAGCCCAAGTTCAACAAAACTGCAGTTCTGATCAATCAACTTCTGAATGCAATTAAGAAATATAATAACTGAGAAGAGAATGGATTCTCTCCCTAAAGCTTTTCCATTGATACAAGAAACATTGTCAGGGGCCAAAAGCAGTCACAAAAATTAACGAAGGGAAGGTAACTGGAGCTCTCATTATGCATTATAAATCAGTAAAAAGATTGGAAAAAAAAAATCTCTCCATTAATAACAGAAGATCCAACCCCACATCTTCACAGCGAGAGTAAGCAATGGTGGGTTCGTCTCACATTTCAGATGCAAGAAATCAGTGAGGCTGAGGTGTGGCTCTCAAGAGGAAATTAGATATAAGTTACTCAGAGAAAGAAAGAGGTCCTTTCCTCACCCAGGGTATTCAAGCTCCCGGGAAGGGAAAAGGGAAATACGGAACGGCATTGCTGTTCTGAGGGGTTATTTTTATGGCATTCGCAGATTCCGCAGAAAGGCCATGTTCCCTCCCTAGGATATCAACTCAGAGTTTTAAGGATGTGATGAAGGAAGGAGAAAAGGAAGGAGTGATGAACACACAAACAGATGAATCAACTAGTGGTGAGTATTTCCTAGCAAGTCTTTGTGACTTCTCTCCCTCTTCTCCGATACGTACCACCAGGCAATAGTGACTCTGCTGAACAAAAGTCCTGTCAGAAAGAGCTATACACACAGGGGTACAGTGTGAAGGAGCCCGCATGGTGGGAGACAGTACTGCCACGCAGATGCCAGCCCGCGTAAAGCTTGCACACGCCTGTCACAGAAATGCCTCTGTTAGGGGGCTTTTAGCTCCCCTTGGTGAAGGAACTATACAGCTAAAAAGCAAGCCCAGGATTTGCAAATAACTTGCCATTCCATTCTTAAATATCACAACCCCAATGTGAATGATGTTTGCAGATTGGCTAGTCACTTCAAAACACCCCAGAGGAACAAGATGCTATAGCGGTGTGTGATCCTATGCAGAAAGCACTGTGGGTTGGGTAAATTATAAAAAGAAAACAGGTATAAATGAAGAAAAAAAATAGAAAACAACCAACGAACCAGCTACCGATCTTTGCCAGTTCTTAATTTGGCCCTTGCCACCTATGCCACCAACTCAAAGCCTTACTCTAGACTTTTTCTTGTTTAAGGGCCCTTTCATTTTTGTCACCTTCTTCCTTTAACATGTTTCCATTAAGAAGATCTTATTGACCATCACTATGAACCCACTTTCTTTCCTGCAGCCGTTCCTCTGAGCATTTCCTCCCCAAATCGTTACCTGGCTGTGGAGATCAGAACTGGGTTAACTGGGAGCACCGACTAGGATTCCGACCGGCCTAGGAGCCTCAGGTCCACAATCCTGAGTCCAGCCCAGTGGACAGGGTGTTGCCTGGGCTGCTCCTTCGCCCAAACAAACAGCAGAACTCTTGATTTAACAGCTGCCAACAGGCGTTTTAACCTTGCGGACGTTTACGAGTGGAAAGACAGCGGGAGAAGAAGGGGGACTCTGACTGTCACAGTAAGAACAGGTTTCCCCTTTTCATCCGGCAGGCGTGGCACAATGCCATGTGGAATCCCTGACCTCTGGCACATGGCCACGGGGACTCCCACGCCGAGATCTTACACAAGTTCACTTAGTCACACAGAGGAGGAAGAGAGTCCCTCAAAGAGAGAACATTTCCACACTGAGCTATACCCAAAAACTCACGGTACTGAACCACAAACTTCATAAAATCCTTATTTGTAAATCCGTGAGTCATAAGGGAGTCCTCACATTTTAGGGGATTATCTGGTTGTCAAGTATATCCCTCTCCTCAAGGTCCCAAACCTAGAAAGCAGCAGGGCCAGCCCTTGGGACTAGGTTCAGAGCCCCTCCTAATACTCCATGATGCTAGTCTTGAATTCAAAATTTCGTGGCATGTTTTAAAGAAAGCATTACTTCAGAAAAGTTAATGTGTTGGATAAAGATACCCACCCCTCCAAAACCTCAACAATCCATGTAGAGCATTATTTCATAGAAGACAGTCCTTGACCTGTTAGTTCTCGATCACTTTAAAATCAGGTCCAAGTTTTCCCTTTTAGTATCTTCTCTAATTCTAAGGATTTGGCTATATTTTTCTAAAATATTTTTAATATGTTTTATTGATTTTAGAGAGAGAGAAAGGGAGAGGGAAAGATAGAAACATCGATGAGAGAGAAAACATTGACTGGCTGCCTCCTGCACCCCTCTACTGAGGATGGAGCCCGCAACCTGGGCATGTGCCCTGACCAGGAATTGAACCAGCAACTTCTTAGGGCATGAGATGATGTTCAACCAACTGAGCCATACCGGCTGAGCTCCAAAAATATTAAGAATAGAAATACTATTTTTATTTATATATTTTTATTCCATCGCCTACTTATAAAACAACCTTGAGGGATCATACCACTAAACGCTGTCACTTTTGAACCTATTCATCCTTTTCTAGATCTTTAAGGTATACTCATGTTATAAGAAGTGACACGGACAGAGGAAACAGCTTTTCATTGTTGCAGTTGTTGGTGGTGGTGTTTTTAAAGAAGTAAATGGAAACATCAGTCCATTTCCTTAGTATAACCACAAAAGAGTGTTTGTTATATATGAGCCTCTCATTAAAACCTGGCCATCCACGGCTAGTGGGCATGTGAGTAGCATGCCCATTGCTTTCTTTGTAAAGTAATCTGACTGCATGCACTAGGGGTGTTAGCCAGTTCATAACTAGCCGTTAGCCCAGTACATTGATTTTTAAAGATCTGGTTTAAGACAGTAAGCAGGATGAGGGTTATCTCAGTTATTTTTACATATAAAGATGCCTATACAAACATAATGCCACAGAAATAAGAAAATGATTATATAAATTATTGCACATCCATATGCCACATGCCTGGCTAGACCCCCTAGGCCTAACACAGTACCTGATACATGCTAAGGTCTCAGCAAATATTTGATGAATTTATGACAAAGAAACATAATGCAGTTATAAAAGTGTTTCTGAAGAATATTTAATGGCATGAGGAAATAGATTCATAATGCTCTATTAAGTGGAATAAACACAATATAAAACAGTTATCTATAGCATGATTCTATTTTTTAAAAGATTGGAGAAAAATATGCTAATGTTGACAGATCAATTCTATTTTATTTATGAGTAATTTTTCTTACTAACTTTTTAATATTTTCAAGCAGTTTTAAAACAATAATCATATATTATTATACTTAGAAAAAAATAATCAAACATGTTTTTTAAAGGCCACTCTGAGAAAACTATATTCTGATTTCTTGAATGACTGAACAATGATCTTGCATTTCAAAGTCAGTTAGCGTGTGATTTTTTTTAAAATAAATTCAATTGTATTGCTTGTTTGAAACCATTTACACATAGTACCTTCAGGTAAAGTGTATTATAGAAACGAATTCTCTCAGCACCTTTTACAACCTAGACAACTAAGTTAAGCATATGTTAGTGCCACCTTCTAAAGATAATGAAAGATATCCATTAACCTCCACAATTCCTTACATAATTAGGAAATGAAAACACTTTCTGGTTCTCCACATTGACAAAATAAACATTTACTTACTCATATTGATCTAAGTTGTTTGATTTCTTTCCTGTTACATAATTACTTGGGATATATCCTTCACTCCTAGAAAGAAGAAAAATACTTTAGGTAGGCTGATATTATCTTACTAAGAGGTTATTAAAAGAAAGATTATTGCCTTCTTAAAATAATTAAAGTATAATATTGCCTAAAGCTTATAAGAAAGACTAGCTGACCCCCGATAAGTCAATACAGCGGTAGCATTTAATGCTTTACACAGTCCCTCCTCATTTGATCCTCACAATGATTCTGAAGTAGGCAGGCATTCTGTACCTGCTTTCTGGTGGGGAAACCAAGGCTTAGACAGATTAAGAGGCTTTCTCAAGGTCCACACCAGGAAGAGGGTTAGCTCGGTTATTTTGACATATTCGATGCCCACACAAAGCCAGCAACAAGGCCAGCGCTTGATCTGGTCTCTGAACTTGGGGCTAGGTTCAGGGCCCTTCCCAATATTCCATGATGCTGGTCTTGAATTCAAAACTGGCCAGCAACAGGGCCAGCCAGCACTTGATCTGGTCTCTGAACTTGTGGCTAGGTTCAGGGCCCTTCCTAATATTCCATGATGCTGGTCTTGAATTCAAAACTTCTTGGGAGGATTTAAGGAAACCATTACTTCAGAAAAGTTAAAGTGTTGGGTAAAAATACCCACCATTCCAATACCTCCATGTAGAACATTATTTCACAGAAGGTACTCCTTGACCTTTTACATCAGTATTATCTGGAGTGCTTGTCAAGGAGGCAAATTCTTGGGTAGAAGCCAAGATTCTCCAGATAAGAAAGAAGAGATACATGTATAACATTTAAAAATTGAGTGAAAACCTTGCAATCTTCACTCTGAATTGGAACTATTAGTAAGAACTCATGATACATTCACACAAAGTGTGTATGTGTAGCTCTGTTACACTGGGAAAGGCCTAGAAGCATGACAATCCAGTAGCAGTTAGAATCCCAGCACCCCAACTATTGTCTTCAGATATTATTTCTTGCTAAGAGGAGCTAGCACATGCCTGGCTGTGCAAATATTTTATACATACAGTCACATACATATAGATTCTCTCTTTCTCTTTTACTTACCTCAGGGGGTAAAAACATAAAAATGTAGTTTTTCTCAAGATCAAAATAATCCAATTAAACATATCATGGATGAGAAACAGTCTAATGTATTCTAATTTCTGGAAAGAAGTGGTCGATCCATTCACATTTATTGCATCACTGATAAGAATACACTGCGTTACTGCAAAGTAATAATGTGTACTTTCTCTTATGGCCAGCGGAACCAGTCTCATTCCATGGGAGTTATACATTATCCTCTTCTCAGAACTTAACCCCCCCCACCCACCGGGTGTCACACACAGAGAGGGAACACTTACCCATATTTATGGAATTGGTGGGGGAGGCCTTCGCTAAGGAAAAGAGAGAACGTGTGAAATCTTAGTCTTCCATCTGTGTGCAGTCAAACACCGAGTGATTCACACATCACCACCGAATAAAGCAGAACCCTCGAGTCCACCTCCTATCATCTGGTGAACCCGCCCATAAATCTGATGCTACTGGACCTCTCATGGGGTTCAGCATATAGGACAGGAGTAAACACTATCTTTAAACTTCAAGAGGCTTCTGCTCAGGGGCAGGGGCAGCTTCCCAGGAAGAAGGAAGGGTGATATGTGAGTAGAAACCAGAAAAGGGAGACCCGCTGCTCAAACGGCCTGCAATGGGGAAACACACTATGGAGTAGAGACTTCCATCTGGTCTCCTCCCACTCAAAGGAATTTACATCTGTCTTCCTGTGTGCAAGACACACACTTAGTACCTATTTATTCTTAACACATAATTCCCCATTTACAACTGAGGAAACAAGGCTTTAAGTAACCCACTCGAGGTCACTCCTATCAGATTCACGTTGGATCAGGCCCTGTCTGGGTCCAACATACCTGTGCTTCCCACCATATCCCACTCTTCAAAGGTGTGTCACTAAATCCGCACAGTCACTCCTGTGCCATAAGACTGTGGCTTTAAGACTAAAATATTCCTGTGAAGTCTCACACCTCTTACAAAATTCTCTTTTTAAAAAAATATATATTTTTTTTATTTCAAAGTGGAAGGGAGAGGGAGAGAGAAACATCAATGATGCAAGAGAATCATTGATTGGCTGCCTCCTGCACACACCTTGACTGGGTGGGAATCAAACCCTGACCTCCTGGTTCATAGGTTGGCGTTCAACCCCCGAGCCACACCGGCTGGGCCTCTTATACAATTCTTGAAGCCAGACTACAGGCAAAATGCCAGATGATAGTAGGGGCCCCAATGATAATATCTGATACGATTAATACTATTTGACACCCCCAAAATCAAATAAGCTAGAGCATATCTGTTTCTGATATGATGGGGGTTAGGGTGGGGGCATAAAGCATCATCTGAATGAATATAAACATACTCAATAAACTGCAAGTGCTTCCAAAGTTAAAGGCCACCTACCTTCTTTGTTTCTGGTGCTGGAGGTAGTACTTTTCTTATACCTGAAAATGATAACAACGAAAGTAGGTCAACATGCCATCTACCAATGATTGATCATTTTAAGGAAAAATGAAAATGAACACATGGGCAACAATTCCACTCTGACTCTCTCACTATGATGCATGTTGCTTGTATTAACATTTGCAACAGAATTTTAACATGCTGTTCAAGTCGGTTTGTATTTCTGTCTTTCTGAACAGGCTGTAAAGGCCATAGGGATTGGGGCCTTCTTTAGTCTTTGTAAACAAGTGGGATTATATCAAACTAAAAACCTTCTATTAAGCAACGGAAACCGTCAACAAAATGAAAAGGCAGCCTATGGAAGGGGAGAAAATAAAGAATAAATATAATAAGGATAAATTTAATAAAGGATAAATTTATAAAATATACAAGGAACTCATACAACTCAATAGCAATAATAATAATAACAATAAAAAATGGGCGAAGGAGCTGAAGACATTTTTCCAAAGAAAACATACAAATGGCCAACAGGTATATAAAAAGATGCTCAACATCACTAGTCTTTAGGGAAATGCAAATCAAAACTATAATGATATATCACCTCACATCTATTATAAGGGCTGTTATAAATAACACCAGGGATAAATGCTGGTGAGGACATGGAAAAAGGGAGCCCTCGTGCACTGCTGTTGGGAATGTCAACTGGTACAGTCAGTATGGAGGTTTCTCAAGAAAACAAAAATAGTTCTACCATATGACCCAGCAATACCACTTCTGGGTACATACACAAAGGAAATAAAATCAATACCTCGAAAAGACATTTACACTCCCATGCTCACTGCAGCATTATTCACAATATCCAAGGTATAGAAACAACATAAGTGTGCTGAAAATGTGACATACAGGGTGTCCCAAAAACATAAATATACACTGTAACAGCTGATAGTTCAATTGATGTTTCATTCTTTTCAGCCAGATTAAGCTTTGAACAAAGGAATTTCACCCTAAGATGCTACTGGAAGTTTGAAAATGCAGTTGAAGTACAAACACTGCCTTTATATTTATTCAAAGTATCCCAAAAATGTATCTACAGTTTAACACCTAATAACTCACTTAATTTTTTTTTAATATATTTCATTGATTTCTTACAGAGAGGAAGGGAGAGAGACAGAGAGTCAGAAACATCGACGAGAGAGAAACATCAACCAGCTGCCTCCAGCACACGCCCCACTGGGGATGTGCCCACAACCAAGGCACATGCCCCTGACCGGAATCGAACCTGGGACCCCTGAGTCCGCAGGCTGACGCTCTATCCGCAGAGCCAAACCAGTTAGGGCAACTCACTTAATTTTCACTCTTTTTCAAGTTTAACTGATTTGAAATAATGGGTGAACCGGACTAAGCTTTGAACAAAGAAAATTTATCCACTAGACTTTTTTTTATGGGAACACATAAAAGATAACGTCTATAGTCAAAACTGGCAATAGCTAATGAATTGAGGGTGCACATATACCAAAGAAAATGGTTCCTGATGTTTGTGATTCCACTGCTTCGCATTATCAGCAGTGCCTGGACCAGGACAGTCATCAGTTTGAAAACAGGCATTGACAAATAAAAGTATTAATTTCTGTAGATTCTTTCAAATTTTGAAAATGAACTGTATGTTAACAAACACTGACTTTATAATCATTCAAAGTGTGAACACATTTTTGGGGGATACTCCATAGGTGTCACCCATATGGTATCAGTGATATATGGAATCTTAAAAAAAAAAGTCAAAACTCATAGAAAAGTGAGCTGGGAGTAGGAAAACAGAGATGTTAGTAAAAGGGTACAACCTTTCAATTGTAAGATGAACAAGGTCTGAGAATCTAATGTATACCATGGTGACATAATTGATAACTCTGTAGTGTTTAAGTGAAATTGACTAAGCGAGTATAACTTAAATGTTCTCACTCATACACAAAAAAGGGTAAACATGTGAGGTAATGGATGTGTTAACTCAATGGGAGGAATCCTTTTACAACACGTAAGTTTATCAAATCATCATTTAAATATATTACAATTTTATATGTCAATTATACCTCAATAAAGTTGAAAAAAAAGGTGATGATGGTGCCATACGAGGCTCACATTTTTAATAGTCATTTTTAGCAGGCTTCCACACTGTGATAGAAGGCCCCACAAATTGATTTGACATTTTGATTCCATGAAATGGTCCCACTACTAACTAAATATAATTATTCTTACAAGTACGCCTGCCCAATATTTACGCTGTGCTAGAAAGTGCAAAGGCCATACTCAACCAACCTCAAAATCAAAATCATGTCACTTTCTCACTCCACCAATAATATGTACATCCTGAGCACAATATAATCATAGAACAAAACGAATACTTACTACTTTCAAAAAGATTATATTTTTCACATCCAGGTGCTAGCTTTTCAGTTTGTCTGCAACACTGATAACTCCCATCTGCCCAAAATTTAGGATGATATTTAATCATAATATTGTTGTTGTTCTTTATTTCTGCAATTCATAAACACATTAAATGATTAGTGAAATAAGGCAGAGATGATGATGTCTCTTTAGTAACAGTCAATCATTCTTTATTTCTCAGATTCCATATTTATTATGAGAACTCCCTCATAACATCATCCAACCCAGCATTCAGAAAAATCCATATGGTTCTCTTTTGCCTCTTTTTTTTTTTTTTTTTTTTTTTTTTTTTGGTGAAGCACCCTTGTTAGCAGAAGTAATCTGGGCTACGCTGTAATGGATAAGCACCACCATTCTGTTTTATAGGAGAAGCAATGAGGGTCGTATGGAACAAACCACTCATTTAAATACTTTAAGCAAAGTCAGTTCATCCACACTGAATGTTGACTACATTGTCAATGTCTTAGAAAATATCAAATCCCGTTATCATAAAAGCCCAGTGCTTTATCGGCTTTAAATATAACATGCACTATGTATATACCACTGGAAGGAATCAGATTATAAAAAAAGAAGTTATCGTCAATATGTATCACTTAGGCAACAGAATGTCCTTGGAGAAATACTTTTTGTATAGTAAAAGATTATAAACGCAAGATACATTAGCTGTGTTTCTATTTTAATGATAATAATGGTCTGTCCTAAAATTACATACAGATTAATATTTCATTATATGAATTTTACCTTCTTTCAACTTCTTCACCCACTGGTCCCTGCTTTGTGCACTAGGTGCAAAAATGTAAAGTGTGTTAGCATCATGAACAACCTAAAATAAAAGATAAGACAGAGTCGGTGAGAAATACTCAGACACAGCATTTTGTCTAGCACAGAGCCCTTGGTACCACAGACACTGATAAATGATTCTGAAATAAGTGAATAAAAGTCCGTTACTTTGGATCCAAAGAACCTAGATTCCTGCCTCACAAAATGCATCTATTTCTTCATGTCTACATCGAGTAGGCTACACATTTTGCAAAGGTCTGTGCTTTATAGAAGAAAAAGTTATAGAGGACAGGATGCTTCAGTAATCTGGTTATTTCCTGTGACCTAATTCATTAAAGCTCCTTAGGTAAACTTGGTGTAACAGGGATGATAATAATCCAGTATTTTTCTGAATATTATTTACTGGTAGATAAATGGACTACTCCTGAGGCATCACTCCTATACTTTCTTTTTGCCACTAGAAATAATTGCAGTAGCTAACTGTTAAGCACTGACTATTCTAATTCTATGCTAAGTGCTTTACACACCTTAACTCAAGGATTCCTACCATCAAGGTATCAGTATTTTATAGATGAAGAGACTAAGGCCTATCCATGGACTTTTCACTCCTGTATAACACCAGGAGGCACCATTCACACAGAATGCACTGCGAGTGGTACCCATAATGTTGTGCTCCTTAACTTGCCTGTCATCATTTGCCAGGTATTCCAGAAAGCCACGATCCTGATTCCAAAGCCCAAACTTCCAACCAGTGTCTCTTTTAGAGGTAACTTCTATCAAACAACTAAATAGTCTTATTACCCATGCTGTTAGTATCCTATATAATAAGAGCTAATATGCTAATTAGACCAAACAGCAGAACGACCATTTTGTAAAGACAACGACCTTCTGGGTGAAGCCGGGGCTGCGGGAGCCCAGGCAGCTGGAATTGCGAGGGCCGAGCCCCTTGCACGAATTTTGTGCATCAGGCCTCTAGTTAATAATAAAATTAAACCTGGGAAAGTAACCCAAGAATTTTATCTTTGGTCTTAGTGTCTGTCACAAGGCAGAAACACCTTGATTTTGTAAAAAAATATATATGGAAAATGGAAAAAGAGGGGGACATATGTAATACTTTTAACATAAAGATTTAAAATCCTATATAATAAAAGCCTAATATGCAAATTGTCCCCTCGACAGGGAATTCAACCAAAGAGTGGGACTGGCCAACCAACCACGGGAAGGGAGGCCCCGGCCCGTGGCAGGCAGCCACTAGGGACCCTACTCCTGCATGAATTTCGTGCACTGGGCCTCTAGTATCTATAATAATCTATAATAACAAAAAGATAATATGCTAATTAGACTGGATGTCCTTCCGGACGAAGCCGAGGCTGCGAGGGAAGTCCGGGTCCTGGGTGCCAGAGGGAGGCTGGTGCCGGCAGCCGGGGGAAGGAAGGCCTATTCTTGCACAAATTTTGTGCATCGGGCCTCTAGTCTATAATAATAAAAGCATAATATGCTAATTAGATTGGACGACCTTCCAGACGAAGCCTGGGCTGCGAGGGCCAAGGTGGCTGCTGCGGTTGCCTCGGGCCAAAGCAAGCCGCCATGGATGCAAGGTCTGAGCCCCTTGCACGAATTTTGTGCATTGAGCCTCTAGAGGAGGGGTGGGCAAACTTTTTGACTCGAGGGCCACAATGGGTTCTTAAACTGGACCAGAGGGCCGGAACAAAAGCATGGATGGAGTGTTTGTGTGAACTAATATATAATCATAGTTTATTATGTCACTCAACTGTGAACAATATTGGCATAGTCATAATAATGTAAATGCAGAATGTTGATTTAACTAAAGCCATGCTTCAACAATGTTGAGAGAATGAGTATGTGTGTGTGTGTGTATGTGTGTTAGAGTGTGTGTGTGTGTGTGTGTGTGTGTTGTCTGTGTGGTGTCTGTGTGTGTATGGCTAGCAGCCTCCTCTCTTCACCAAATCAACAGCCACTGGATTGAACACAAATAGCTCTTTCATTGGTAAATGGCTGTTCCTGGCCATCTTCAATAGGTAATTCCTTCCCATCATTTCAATCAAATAAATTTTGTCTAAGAGCAATGTGAGCACCATAGAACAATATTGTCATATTTCATTCAGTGATGAATTAATCCAACTAGCATTTTGATGGGACTACATAGATATAAAAACATATCAAACAAGAACCTTATTTTCAAGATGTGGATAGAAATACTTTATAACAAGACAAAAAATGAGACATGATAGAGAGGTGAAGATAAAGCACTAAGAGAGATGTGGGGATCTATATTGCCTCGTTTGGTCCATGATTTTCACACCTGGGATAATGTAATTTTAAGAAAATAGCCGAAACCGGTTTGGCTCAGTGGATAGAGCGTCGGCCTGCGGACTGAAGGGTCCCGGGTTCGATTCCGGTCAGGGGCATGTGCCTGGGTTGTGGGCACTTCCCCAGTGGGGGATGTGCAGGAGGCAGCTGATTGATGTTTCTCTCATCGATGTTTCTGGCTCTCTGCCTCTCTCTCTTCCTCTCTGTAAAAAATCAATAAAATATATATATATATTAAAAAAAAGAAAATAAAGATCTATTTGCTCTTCATCATTGTTCCTGGCACAGAAATCCTAAAACCCCTGGAATATCCAGTGCCTAGAGTGACAAAGATGTCTTTTGTTGTGCTAATGAGGTGACTTCCGGAAAGTACCTAAGGATGAGGGCTGGTTGTCAACAGAGCCAACCTTGTATTAAAGGGTTGGCACTTCCAGTCTCCCTACCCCACCCCACCCCAACTCCAGGGAGGGGAGAGGGACTGGAGACTGAGTTCAATCAACAATGGCCAATGATGTCATCCATCATGCTTACACAGGGAAGCCTCCATAAAAACCCTAAAAGGGGCAGGTTCAGGGAATTCCTGGGTTCGTGAATACGTGGAGACATGGGGAGAGTGGAGGGCATGACACCACCATGCCCTTTCCCCATGCCCTGTCCTATGCATCTCTTCCATCTGGATGCTCCTGAGTCACATTCTTTTATAATAAGCTTGTGAGCTAGAAAGTAGAATATTTCTCTGAGTCCTCTGAGCTACTCTAGCAAATTACTCAAGAGGAGACTGAGGAAACCTCTGATCAGCAGCACAGGCGATAACTTGGTGTTGCGACTGGCATCTAAAGTGGGACCAGTCTTGAGGGACTGAGCCCTTAACCTATGGGATTGATGCTATCTTTGGTCAGACAGTGTTGAAATGAATTGTAAGACACCTAGCAGGTGTCAGGGAATTACTTGGTGGTGTGTTAGAAAACACACAATAGGGTGGTGAAGGCCTGGGGTGGGGCAGGAACTGGTTAGTGGGGGTCAAGGGGGAAGAAGGGGGGGCATCTGTAATACTCTCAACAATAAAGATAAGAGAAATTAAAAATAAATACATACATACACACATATAGAAAATACACATACATACATTGGAATTGGGTGTCAGAATCTTACCCAGGTTTGTCAATGCAATCAACTCTGTACCTAAGAATTAGGTAAAAATGTACCATAAAACAGTCATTCTGAATTGAACAGGGGTATCTGGAAAGGACTGCTAGGGCTTTGAACCTTCCAGAAACCTGGGTGTGTGGTAATAATTCATTACAATAATCCACTTTACTAAATCTTTACAACAGGCTAAGCACCTACATACACTGGCCCATTTAACCCATGTGGCAGCCCATGTCTCTATTAGCAATAGGACCCTCATTTTCCAGATGAGAAAACCAAGGTAGGTGAGCTTACGTCATCTGAGTAGGATCTTTTTGACCTCCTTGTTCCCAAACACCTTCATGGGGTCCCTGGACCAGTTCCCTGCTGGAATCTGCCTTTTCGAGGTCCAGTCTAACTTCTCCTCAAAGCTCACCTCTTGACAGTATGGTGAGCCTGTAACGTTGTTAAAGTTTGTTCAAGGCTAGCCAATCAGAGGAAAACCAATCCAAACACAGAGTTCTGATAACCAAGACTAGATACATTACCTAGCTAACTTGGGACATGTGCATTCCTATAAAGAAATATCTACAGATAGTACTCTCAACCCAAAAGATGACCATGAATGTGGCATCTCAGGCAAGCCGGTGGGTGAGCTATCTGGGTCCAGTATCCTTCTCTCAGCAAACCCCCGAGCACACCTGGAGGCCACCTCCGTGTCACCCACGGGGACAACTGACTGGGGCAAAGGGCACGCAGGGAGCCATGTCCCTTCAGTGTGTGCCTCATCTTCTGGTGAGTCATCCTGCCAGAGCAGACAGTGTCAGGGAGGGAAGAGCTTTGCAGACCTTGTGGTACAGTTCAATGAGGAGGAAATACACACACCCCCACCACCCCCTTAGGAACAATCATTAGTCGTTACCCTCCCTCCTATTTGCATCTTTGTCCACTCATTCCTTTATTCAAGAGACCTTCAGGGACAATGCATCTAACAGCTGTTAGTCAGACAGATATGGGTTCAAAACTCAAGAAAGAAATGCCACCGCCTGGGGAAGCCCCTTGCCATCAGCAGACTCAGCTAAGGAAGCAGCTGGCTCCTCCTCCTGTGTTCTCTGTTCCTTCCTGGGCGAGAATATGCTGAGCTGGGAAGCAACCTCTTTTTCTCTCTTAGTGTCTTTTGAAAATGTCTACTTCTGCTTTGCTTTGCTTTTCCTTTTTTTTTTGGCATTGCATCTGCATGTGATACCAACTTTCACTGTGAAGACGTGAAACTACAACCCAAACTTTAGGTTATACTTAATAAAATAAGAGAGTATGTTTTACCTTTTAAATCTTGCTGGTTTAAATCACATAGTTAAAGCTCACGTTTACCTCTTCTTCATTTTTAAGGCAGTTTTTTAATTTTTCTTGTATTTATTCATCTCAACAACTAGAAATGGTTCTGGGTGGAATGCTTCCTGTTCTCATATTTTCCTCCTCATTCTAAACCGATCCAAAGTGTGCATGGCAGATCTCTTTCTCTTGGAAAGCAAAACTTCTAATTCTGAGCCTAGACCATGAGAACCGTAGCTCCCCACACCCACCTGCCACCACGCAAATGTCTAGCAGCCATCAGACATGTGATAGGAGTGGTACTCTGCTAAACTTCAAATGAAATCTCTCTCTCACACACACACACACACACACTCACACACACACACACACACACACTCACACACACACACACACACACGTACACACGCACAATTACATATGCACTTAACATTCCTAATCAAGAACAAGATTTCAATTGGGCTTACTTCTAGATCTGAGGTAGGTGTAGTGTTAATGGCAGCAGTAAGAGAAGTAACAATAACAACAATAATAGCTATTACAGTAGTTAATTAGTTAATTAGTTAGTTAGCTAGTTAGTTATTAACAAAGGAAGGGAGCAAATGAAATCAGACTTAAGCCTGATTAACTAGAAAGGGCAGTTTCACAGACTCCCCAAGGGACAACCGCTTCCTCAACGAAAGGGACCTAATCCCTGAACAGACAGGAAGAACTGCTTTCCACACTCCCCCGGACAACCTGCCAGCGCGCTGGGGTTGGGATGGGGGCAGGATGACACAGTGGGAAATACCTCTGCTGAGGCATGCGCAACAGAAGCCAGATGATGAAGTAGGACCATAAGGTATATGCAGTGGGAGCCCAAATGGCAACACAAAGGGGAGGAGTCTAGCCTGGAGAAATGGGGGGGAGGGGGGGACAGAGGTGGGAGGATAAAGGCAAAGGCTGGAAAATCCAGGAAAGGGATTGGAGGGGGGAGGCCCAGCACAAGCCAGAGAAGATTTAGGGAGAAGATTGGACAGTTTGAAAGAAAGCCTGCTTGTTTCCGAAACCAAGAAAATGCATGGCGGCTTAGTAAGGGTCTCCGGACAGTTGCTGCCCACTACATCCCCGAGGGCATATTTCTTTCCTGATAAAATTTAACTTCTCCCACACGTGAGCCCTTTGAAATTCTTTCTTCGCAACACTGCAAGGACCCATTTTATCTAGCAACACAAATAACACTTATCTTGCTCTCACTGTGTATCTAAACTATTTCTATATCGCCTTAGTTAACCCTCACAACAACCCTCGGAAGTGAATGCTAGTATTATTATTATTCTCATTTTTCAGATGAGGAAAGAGACACAAAAGCAGTTAAACTTGCACAAGGTCACAGAGCTCATTGGCAGCGAATCAGGTGGTGTGGCCTCAGAGTTGCCTCTCTAAGCACCACACTGTCCCTCCTCTTCAAGCAAAGAAATGACAGGTCTAAAATGAGGGACTGGGAAAAGGAAAAGTAATTGTAGTCCTTTCTCCTAGTATGCTGTTCCCACCAGAGTGGAAATAAGCCAGGTGCCTCTTTAAAGCTTGAATATCTTAATTTCCCCAACTGGTAAACGTTTATTTCAAATGTAAACTGATAAATTCACAGTAGCCATTAAAAACAACCAAGCTCTCCATTGTGCTACTATGTTGAAAACACTTAAAAAAAATATATATATATCTTACTGATTTTTTACAGAGAGGAAGGGAGAGGGATATAGAGTTAGAAACATCGATCAGCTGCCTCCTGCACAATCCCCTACTGGGGATGTGCCCACAACCAAGGTACATGCCCTTGGCTGGAATCGAACCTGGGACCCTCAGTCTGCAGGCCGACACTCTACCCACTGAGCCAAATCAGTTAGGGCTGAAAACACTTTTGCAACTTTCCCCCTTAGCAAATAGTGAGACCATAGCTATGTGTAAAAGGCGACTTGCACAGAAGATGTTCACTACCCAAAGGAAAGCATAAAAATGTCCTCGACCAGAGAAGGGGTGGGTGGGTGTTGGAGAGAGGTCCTGTCTGCCTGCTTCAAGGTCTGAATACCAGGGTCCGACTCTGCCCGCCGGGCTCCCAGGGCATGTGTGCACCGTGACTGGCAGGGAGTGACAAGGATGCTCCGGATGCCACGCTGATCCCCTGGGAGTGACAGGACATGGGTGTTGTAGGGAGGTTTCTCATTCACAGAATGACCCTGGACGAGTCATTTAACATCTGTGAACCCCAGTTTCCTGTCATAAATGAGACAGTGTATTTACCTCCCTTCTATAAAAGAATCATTGTGAAGGAAAACATGAAAAAACATAACCTTTTAAAAGGCACACTTTAACGGACATGCAATGCTAATGTATTTTGCATTACAAGCAGCATTTCAATCTCATTTCTGTTCCAGGGGCTCGCTCCGGCCCCTTCTCCGCTTCTTAAATTCACAGAAAACACCTCACCCCACTTTTTCCCGTCTCAGTCTCCCCTCCCCCTCCTAATTGCTCTAGGACCAATCTGAATAATAAATAGCACATTAGGTCTGGGGCTTAGAAACTCAGGGCACTGGTAGAATCTAACAGACCAAAAACATGTCAGCCTGGATGACCTGGCTCAGGGGTTGAGCATCGACCTATGAACCAAGGGGTCACGGTTCGATTCCCGTCAGGACACATACCTGGGTTTTGGGCTGGATCCCCAGGGTGGGGCCTGCAGGAGGCAGCCAATGAATGATTCTCTCTCATCCTTGATGTTTTTATTTCTCGCTCCCTCTCCCTTCCTCTCTGAAATCAATAAAATATTTATTTAATGTTTCAACCAAGACTTAAAAAGTTTATGAAAAAACAATTACTATCAAAGTACAAATGAAACTAAAAATCAACTACCATAGGATTCAGCAAGCCTAATTCTGGGTATTTATCTGAAGGAAATAAAATCTGGATCTTGACACTATGTCTGCACTGCCCTGTTCACTGTAGCATCGTTTGCAATAGACAACATATGCAAATCACCTAAATATCCAGACAGATGAATGGATAAAGAAAAGGTGGTGTGTCTATATACCATGGGATATTATTCAGCTTTAAGAAAAGAAGGAAATCCTATTATTCTTAACAACATGGATGAACCTGAGGGCATTATTGGTATACTAACTGAGATAAGCCAGACACAGAAAGATAAACACTCTATGATCCCACTTATACATGGAATTTGAGTCAAAATCACAGAAGCAGAGAATAGAACAGTGGGAGTCAGGGGCTGGGAGATGGGAAAATGGGGAAATGTAGGTCAAAGGGTACTGGGGTAGGCAGTTAGACAGGCATGAGCAGAGAAAAGACAATGAGCCAGGCACATATAAGGTCACCGGGCGGAAAGCTGCGGGTGCCTAGCAACAGGCAAAACTGTGAAAACAAGTACCTAGCCCCAAGGGTAACCTTTTCTCCCCTAGCATATCCTTGGTCATGCAATTTAACCCCCTGACCTCCCATAGTGCTGGCCAGGCAGTTCTGATCTTCCCCTGACCTTTCCTCCCTTGGCATGTTGCTAGTCTTGTGGTAGATGCTCTGGGGGAAATGGATAAGGGGCCAGAGAATAGCCCTTAAGCACTAAGCCCCTAAGACATGAGGTTCTGAGCCACATCAGATACATCTAGGCCTCGGCTGTGTTTCAGCTCCAGGACCAGAAAAGCAGCAAATCCAGACAAGGGAGGCCATGGCTGACTTCAGATCCAGCTGCAATGACTAATGACCCTGGTGCCAACCAATCAGGGAGACCTCAACCCTGAAAGGACACACCTGGAGAGCTGATGAATATTCTATGGCAGCGGCCACCAACCTTTCGGACCTCAGGGACCACCAGTGGTCCGCGGACCACCGGTTGGCGACCACTATTCTATGGAACCCTTCCCTGAGGCCTCAGACAATTTTATCCTCATGGCAGAGGACCCAGTATGGCTCTCACTAGGTAGCACGCCCCAATTTTGAGTTTCCCTTCTCTCTCTCTCTCTCTCTCTCTCTCTCTCTCTCTCTCTCTCTATCTCCTTCCTTCTCCCGTAAGCTCTAAGGGCCCCTTCTTTTGCCTCTGTAGCTTGTTTCCTGAGCCCATTTCTTCTATGATTCACTTCTACTTCTGTGACTTTCTAAATAAACTTTGGTTTATAGGTTGAGTCTTGGCTCTGAATTCTTTCTTAGCCAGAACTCAAGTACAGAGGTTGCTGAACCCAGGTCTGGCCTGACTCTATGGTGCTATTGTCACTGCCAACAGTACCAAGTGTTTCAGTTACGCAAGGTGAGAGTCCTGCACAGAATGGTGGCTACAGTTCTCAATGCTGTACTGTGTACTTGAAATTTGCTAAGAAGGTAGATCTTACATGTTCCCACCACACACAAAAAATAAAGAAAATGGTATGTGAAGTGGTGATCATTTCACAGGGTATATACATATATCAAAACATCAAGATTTTACACCTTTAAATATATACCATTCCAATGTGTCAATTATATCTCAATAAAGCTGAACTTTTAAAAAATCAACCACTAAAGCAATGACAGGAAACTGTAATGTCAAAGAGTATGACTAAAAGCCCAGAATTACACTGCCACAGAACATGCCGGCTCACCTGAAAGGGATATTTATTTTGACAGGGAATGACACCGTCATCATTCTTCACTACTTCCACACACTTTATTTTTGAAACATCAATAAATCCCTTTCTGTATTTTTTCTGTTGAAAGAAAGAAAAAAAAGAACGATTACAATCATAAGATATAAGAAAATGTGATTAATGGTAGTATTTGTTAATGAAATCACTGACTCAATATATTATAATTTCTTAAAATTATTCAAAACACTAACACTGTGAGAACTCTAATCAAAATAATTAAATCCTTTAATTTCTAAAGATGAAATGGTTCTGTTCTTGCCTCCCAAAAGCTCTGGAACAGAACAATGGACTTCCTCTCATTGTTGCCTTCCCATCTCAGACACGCATCTTAACTTCAACTTCTTTTTTTTTTTTTTTAATTCTTTTCTAGAGGCCCAATGCACGGAGATTCATGCAAGAATGGGCCTTCCTTCCCCTGGCTGCCGGCACTGCCTTTGCTTCGGCCTGGAGGCGCCTTTCCGCCTTCCCATGCTGCCCAAAGGCCTGGAGCAGCTGGGGCGGTGTGGAACACCTGTGTCATCGCCATGCTGCCCACAGGCTTGTCAGTTTTGTTGGGTTAATTTGCATACTCGCTCCTGATTGGCTTGTAGTGTTGTGGAGGTATGGTCAATTTACATGTTTGTCTATTATTAGTGTAGATTGTTGAAAGTTTTACATATGTCTCCTTTTTCTCCCATTGAGCTCTCCCCATGTACTCCCACCCCCCTTCTTCAACTTCTTGATGAAAGCCCCAAAAGATAGCATCAATTACAGAAGGAAACTGTAGCCAGTTACCTGTCCCCTCCAGCACACAGAACCAGAAGGACGCAAGGTGGCCTTAGCACGTCCTCATAAAGCCTCCACTCAGACTCTCATTGAAGGTTCTACTTTCTCCCCTATTGCCCTCCCCCCCTGCACGGAAAATCTCCCTGCAGCAGACACCGAATGACATATCAAGACACCCCTCCCCACCAAAAAAAGCACTCACACCAACTGAGATTACTCACATGAGTAAGCTCACATTTGAGAATTTATCCCAGGGAAAAAATCCAAAGGAGTACAAAATAGTACGTGCAAAGATAACTTGATATATTGTATCCATTAAAAATATTGCAAATACAATGTAGAAATAAAGAATGTTCGCTGAATAATATTAATTGAGACATGCCACAGATAAAGCTGTATAAAGACTAAGGCTACTTAGGGGACGGGATGGGGGGTAGATATACAGAATAGAAGAAAAAATAGACAAATGAAGAAGTGTAGTATTGGGGGTAGCTCAGCCATTCCCTGGGCCCAGTCATTCAAGATTGCTTCATCTAATACTCTGAAATGCCCCTCTGGCCCCAATCTTTGAGCCCCCTACCCGCTCCCAGGAACCTGCTCAGCACCCTCACTGTCACCAAAGAACTTTCAGACCTGCCAACTGCCCCAGGCCACCAGCTCCCATCTGACTAGACTGCTCTGGAGGTCATTTCACCAGTACTTCTCCTGTCCCTTGCCCTCCCCTCCCCTCTTCTTCTTCTCTCTCTCTTCCCTTCTCCCCTGCTCTACCCCCTCCCCCGCACCTCACTAATCCCACACATCCCTTCACATTTTTTGCACCCCTATTCATACCTTTCCCTGTTCCTACATGCCGGGCTGCAGAAGGTCAAAAAACAACACTGTCTCCTTGACACTTAGCCAGACCTTCACTGCTACATCTCAGTTCTTCTGCATCTCCAGCAGAGAGAACCTGGTGTTCTCCATGGAACCCTGGGTCTCATCAGAACACAGACCCTTCCAGTCCCCTTCTCGCAGGGGACAACTGCCCATGACTTTATGGGGACGAGAGCTGCCATCCCACACACACACCCCAAACCCCCTCCTCCTGCAGGTCCAAAGCATTTTAAGATTTTCCCTTTCATCTTTCATCCTGTTTCTAGAAGATTAAAGGCTACAACAGTTAAGATACTGTAGGTGGTACTACACTCACAAAATTCCCCTCCTTTCACAGATGAGGAAAATGCAGCTCAAGACTGCTGACACACATTACCCAGCTGACCCCAATGTCCACTGGACCCTGGGATGCCCCAGCTGCAAGCAGGTGACAGAATTCGTGGAGACAAGTCCCCGAGGGGGCAGTCAGGGTTCTGGGCATGGACGGAGCTGTAGTCAGGAGAGGGGGAGGGACACTGCCCTTCCAAGGCATGTCCTTCCCCTGCCTAGAGCCACCTCCTCTCCCAGCCACACCAAGAGCCCTTCTTCTGGCCCTGCCACGGCCCCAACGCTTCTCTTCCCTTCCTGAAAGGAAATGTGATCGCACCCTCAGCCTTTCATTTCCTTCCCACCCACTCCCCCTTCACCACTTGCAATCTGCAGCCCACGTCACCACAGCCTGCTAAAGGCATTCTCAAAAACATCACCACGAACAAACCCAACCGTCTTTGCTCAGTGGTCATCGCTCACACCTTTCTGAGACATCTGGGGGTGCCGACACCCTTCTCCCTTAGTGGCCTTGACTTGGGGGGGTCATCTGTTTTTCCTTCTCTCCCTTCCCTCAGTTTCCCATAGGGCACACCTGCCCCGTGTCAGCAACGGTGTCCAGGAATACACAAAGTTCAGATCGGGGACGCTCACGTCCTAAGCATAGAGTCCAACTATTGTGTCCTTTAATCCTCATGGCCACTCTGTGAGGTCAGCGATACCAGACACAATTCACAGAGGGAAGACACGAAAATTAAGCAACTTTCCCATCTCTACCTCTGAGACAGAAAAACAGTATTTATTATACAGGGTGGAGCAAAAGTAGGTTTACAGTTGTGAGCATGCGAAACACAGAGTTTATTCTTGTATTAGTACTGTATTATTTTCCACACAAACAACTGTAAACCTATTTATGCCTGAGCCTGTAAAATATAGTAAGTACCGTATATTAAAAAGATGCTAAGAGAATACAGAGGAACTCTGGCTTAAATGACAATCTGGGCAGAGAAATTCTAATGCATGGTAGGGAGGAAACAAACAGCACACGTGAAGAAAAACATACTCCAGAATGACCTCAGTTGTCTCATCTGTAAAATGGAAATGATAACAGTATCTACTTCATAGGTACTATTGCAGAGCTCTGAGAATTAAATGAGCATTTGCAAAGTGCTTAGAAGAGTGTCTGACCTGTAGTGTGATACCTGTAAGTGTTTGTTACCTAAAATAAGTAGCAAAAACAGCAACAACAAAACAATTTGATGGCTGATGCACAAGGTGCGTGCAGCAGGATGGGGAGGTGATCGATCGGGGTCAGCTTATGAAGAACCCACAGCCCCGTGCTGAAAGGTCTAGCCAAACAGGGCCATCCCACCCCGTCCCTGGGGCCTGCACCAGTCAATGGGCAGAAGAAAGCCAGAGCACCATCCTCCTATGACCAGCCACGCATCACTGCAGAAGCCTTAGAAAATACTAACAGCAACAGAGGGTCAAACGACCCTCCATCCCCAACCCTGGAGAAAGTCACTGTTAACATCATGGGCTTTTCAGACATTGCTCGGAGATCGTGGACCACCTGCCAGCTCCCTCAGCCCTCGAGCCGTGGGCTATGTATGGTCTGCTTCCACAACACCCTTCTCCACCCACCACCTGCCCCCATGACTAAAGGCAGCTGTTAGATGCAGGCCCATCTATACAGAAGAGGGGCTGACTTTTATAGTGAGTTTACTTACACCCCCTGAGTTCATGTTCTGTGATTATGTTAATTAATATAATTATGTTACTGTACTAATATTTGGGCTTATTGATCCAAATACCTTGCTATGAAGTTGGAGGATGACAGTTCGAATTTAGATTGCTCCTTCACTATGTTATCCATCCCACCAGCAAACACTGATGAGACATCCAGCCCAGAGGCTTCAAGGTTCTGGAAGGGGCTGAGGGTCTCCTCTGGAGGAGTTCACAGTAACATGGTGGGTGGAGGGGTTGAGGGGATGACTCATCATCGAGGAATGATGAAGTCAGCGAGCACGAGGAGCGCTGGGGAGGGGCAGTGGCTGGGCCAGGAGAGGCTGGAGACCGTTCAGGGAGGAAGTGATATTTGGATTTGGTTTTTAAAGGATAAGTAGGAAAGTTTCCTGTAGAGAAAGTGTAGAAGGAGAGAGGGAGGGGGCGGGGAAGCATTTATTTAGGAAACAGAAAGAAATTATGACTGAGGCTCGAAGTGGGGCAGGGGAAGTGTAGGAAATGACACCAAAAAGGTTGAGACCAAGTTAGAAAAATGCTTATACGCCAGACTAAGGAGTTTGATTTATTCTTAGCGGTTCTAAGCAGCGAGTGAGGAGTGTTAAATTGAGGTCTGTTTTCCCCAAAAAAGATATTAATGGCAGTGTGGGGGATGGGTGAAGGCAGGTGGCTAGTGGGGAGACTGCTACAGGAGTACAGGTGAGGATCCAGCTGGCCTAGCTCAGTGGTTGAGCTTCAACCTATGAACCAGGAGGTCACGGTTCGATTCCCAGTCGGGGTACATGCCCGAATTGTGGACTCAATCCCCAGTGTGGGGCATGCAGGAGGCAGTCGATCAACAATTCTTTCTCATCGGTGATGTTTCTATCTCTCTCTCCCTCTCCCTTCCTCTCTGAAATCATAAAAAAAAAAAATTTTTTTAAGAGTTCAGATAAGGGATAATGAGGTTGTGAGCCCTATAAGTAAGGTGAGAAAAGCAGGGATGCCAGAGTATTAAGAGGTAGAGTCCACATAACGTTGTGATCAATTAGAGCTGGGGATTAAGAGGGGAGAAGCAGTTAAGGAGCCTGGAGGATTCTGAGTTTGAGTGCTGTAGACAGATACTATAACCACAATAGGACTGCTGAGGGAGAATCAGGTTTGAAGGCAAGGCTGGGAATGCTGTTTGAGTTGACTATTGGACAGCCAGGTGGATATGTTTGCAGGGAGCTGCTCAAACTCAAACATGCTTAGCACTGTCTTTATATAGTTCAAGAGAATTCTGCTTTTCATAAGACATATACAGTATATTTAGCAGTGCATGACTCTAGGCACACCTCAGGGTAACCCTGAGAGGTTAGGCAGGACCGAGGAAGAAAAGGGTGGAAAAATTA